TTGCAATTCAATAAAAAGCACAGAGGGGAAAAAGTTACATCCCTCTCTCCCTTTGATATCTGCAGATACTTTCACATCAAACTGTATACTGTGATTATTTGTAATTATTTTTTAGATCCGATGTACCCGCTGTACGTAGCTATCATCTGCATAGTACCAGCGCTCGTTCTCCCTGTGGCGGACGTAAGCAGTATAGTGCCCACACATTGCATAACCAGAGTGCACGACCACTGCGTACAAGGTGTACCTGCACTCATTCTGGAAGAAAAACAAATAAATAATCAGAGTATTCACAAGCAAAAGATGCAATATTCACGTAAAAAAGAATTCAGACGTACCTGTGCAAAGTTTGCGGAGAACACATGTTGGAGACTCTGGGAGAAATCAAAGGTTTCTGGGAAAGAAACCCTGCAGTCAAGTTTGTGTGTGGAACCGCGGCTGTTCCGAAATCGCTTCAGGTTCATGCACAAGATACGAGGCAGTGAGAGGAGTTTGACACCCTGAACAAAACAAATGAGTGAATTTGAGTTCATGATTATGCTGGCAAATATGTTTCACCCACCCACTCTCATCCACTCATCCCACTCAGCCCTTTAAATATGTTTTTTTTCCTCAAACATATTTTTATTAGATTGAAGCAACGAAGAAAAATAGATACACACAGATTTGTTATACAACAAGCAATTAGATTTCACAATGATTGTTTGAGCTGACATGATAGAATACAGATTAATGACACATTCACATATCTGATTTCATCGGAGCCTTTTCAATGTGTTTGATGGCAATTTAAACCTGAGTCTCACCTGTCTGGATGAGTTCTTAGTTCCACAGTGTGCACAAAAGCAGGAGTTTATGCCCTTGAGCTCCTGATGCTCAAAGAAGGAGTTCATGCAGCCCTCCTGAAAATATGACAAATGTAACAAAATAAATAGTGAGTAAAATAAACAGTGACAATGCAATACAGCTAAGGTTTGTAACCTAACAAGTCATATGTCATTCATTTGATCTTTTATGAGTGGTTCTGTGCTGGACTATTTGCTGGTGACTCTGATTTTTGTAATCCTTATAAACTTGTGCGTTTTCTCCCTCTTTGTGTTGTGTGGATTTATAACCCCCACCTCCATGTAATACTTCCCAGTTGGAAGTATTGCATATTAAAATGCTATGTTTTATTACACCCATATGATTGGATCAGGATTGGCTAAAATCTTTGGCTTCAATAAACTGTAAAAATTTGAGATTTTAAGATACGGCCTCCAATAAAAGGGAAAAAATAGCAAACGGAGATAGTGTGTTTCCCAACAGTTTTAGTATTCTTACGCAAAAGAAGAAGAAGACCCACCAGAGAGTTGTCATCCTCCTTTACATAAAGCGGAAAACTGAGCATGTAGCTGGTTTCGGTTTGGATGGAGTTGCACTTTAAACACTGCAGGTGTGTCTCCACTGAAATCTTGTACAGATCCTGAATTTCCCCAGCCTTTCAGAGAGGGCAAATGCAAACAAACACTGTTGTAGATAACACATGCAGAAATGAATAATATTAGAGTAGTTTGATCACAGTCCAACCAGAACTCTGTTGTCCATCTGCTGGTGAATGAGGTTGAGAATCGAGAGGAACACCTCATCTGCGTCATGCTGCACATTAACTGTAAAGCATCATTAGAAGGTGTGAAATAAGACACATCGGCAGGAGGTATTTTCTCTGCAAAAGCGTGGCTCTTACGTCGAAAGCGGTTTTGGTCCAGACAGTGGAGGAAGTCACGATGTGGAGCGAGCTGAGGAAGGTCACCCCGCATGGCCTCAAGAACTCTCTTTAGATGCAGCGCGACATTACGAGCATCTCCTCTCGCACCAGCTACATCCCACCTTTTAAAATTCATAAAAGCTTGTTAATATTGTAAACAGCCTTAGGATTTCCACAGTAAGTGGCACTACAACATCACTGAGTCAAGATGAAAGCAGCTGTAGTAATTCATGTGATTACCTTTCTAGCAGTTCTGCTATTTCCCAGGTAGCAGAGAAAGTCTGCAGCAAGCTGTTCACACAGCATGATAGACAATAGTTGGAGAGGCCTCTCATCCCTGTAAGAGTAACAAGGGTTAAATAACAGCCTGTGACACCGTGAATCAACCCACCAGAGTCCAGTGGGTGTGTGCACGTGTGAAAATAAATAAAAATGGAAAAGCACAGTCAGCTGTGGAGAACCCCACATTTTTTATATATATTCTATTAAAATAGCAAATCATGGTTTTAGAGATCACAGAGCGTGAGGCTTGTTCGGTTTATTAGTTTTAGGCCCCGTGTTGGGCAGATGTGGAGCAAGTTGACTTCACTTCACACAGACTCACGGTAAGTATTTTGGTTTCTGTGTCACTGAAATATGCCTGACCTGAGGGTCAAATGCAACAACAGACAAAAGAGCATTTATGAACCAGTCATAAATTTATGAGGTTTAAAGAGTTATTTTGAGGTGCAGAAATCCTCTAAAGGTTTGTGAAACAGCATAACCACCTCCTTAACAACCCAGTATGATAAATATGAGTAAATATGAACATGATTATGATCAGATAGCATATTCATAGTCACACAATAAAGATCATTTGTGAATGTTTTTGAATTTCTAGTCCTTTGATCTCGTGTTATTGGAGCAACATGTAATAAAAATATTGATTACAGATTTTAGTCCAAAAACTAGTTTTAAAGTCATATTTCACAGTTATATGACTATTAGCACAGTTTAAACAAATCAGCCAGTAAACAATTAGATTATACAGTCACCAGACACTTTATTAGGTACACCTTTTCAACTGCATGTTAACTCATATATCTGATCAGCCAATCACAAGTCGGCAGCTCTGAGCATTTAGACATGTAGACGTGGTCGAGTCGACCTGCTGAAGTAAAAATGGAGTTACAAAGTGGGAAACAAAGGTGATTTTAGTGACTTTTAACATGGCATGGTTGTTAGTCTGAGTGTTTCAGAAACTGCTGATATACTGTGATTTTCCCACACGGCCATCCCTAGAGTTTACAGAGAATGGTCTGTAAAGTTTGATGTCAGAGGTCATAAGAGAACGACCAGACTGCTTCAAGCTGATTAGAAGAGTAGAAACAGCAACTCAAATATTCACTAAAATTAGGTAACCAACATGAAACTGAAGCTATACTTCACACACTTCACCAAAATTGGACAATACATAACTGGAAAAACGTTTTCTAGTCAGATGAGTCTTGATTTCTGTTGCACGAAAGCATGGCTTTATCCTGTCTGCCTTGTATCAACAGTTCAGGCTGCTGGTGGAGAGGGAGTGATGTGGGGGGTATTGTCTTTGGCCCTATAGCACCAGCTGAGCATCATTTAAATCCACAGCCTACCTGAGTGTTGTTGCTGACCATGTCCATCTCTTAATGACAACCGTGTACCCATCTTCTGATACCTGCCTCGGGCAGGTTAACGCACCATGTCGCAAAGCTCAAATCATCTCAAACTGGTTTCTTGAACGTGACGATGAGTTCACTGTACTCAAATGGCCTCCACGGTCACCAGTTCTCAATCCAGTAGAGCACATTTGGGATGTGGTGGAACAGAGATTCCCATCATGGATGCAAAGCCAACAGATTTGGAGCAAATGTGCGATGCTGTCATGTGAGCAAAGTTTCCAGCGCCACCAAGATGTACCTAATAAAGTGGCTGTGAGCGCATTTTTGGCACACTGTGCACTACATTGTTCATGACCGAGAAAGCACTACAGCTTTAGAAAGTTAACTGACTAAAATAATTTTTCCCATCTGTGAATAAAACTTGACTTCAAAATTGTTCCGTTTTTATTTACTGTGAAATTAATAACGAGTGCATCTACGAATCGTTGAGGAGCTTAATCGTATTTAACAAGCATCTCGTGCATTTCGCTGAAGTAGGACCTTTAAACTAGTATTTATAGTTCTCAAGCAAACAGGAAATAATATAAAAACATCACCATCGGGTTGAGAATGATCCGCTTACCAAATAAGCGATTCTCCAGAGTAAGTCTAGAAACGAAATGGTAGATCCCAGACATCAGTGCAGCCTTCTGCTCTTCTTCAGGGTCTCAGGACGGTCACTAAACCAACAGAGGGTCGAGCGTTTGTTGTACTTCACCCCACTGTAAACATCAGCGCCACAGAAACAGTTCCCAGCAAGTTTCATTTTACAGCTTTCTCTTCGCTTTGCTGGAAACGAAACTCACAAACTGTCATGCGCAAACCGGCTGGAACTATGACGTCGACATGTTACGGCAATCACGTCGGCGCTACACAGCATTGGTGACACATGGGTCCAGATTATCTCCACAGTCACAGGCAGTACTCTGTACTCGAATACTTAAGTATTTTTAAGTATTTCCACTGTGCGCAACTTTATAATAATACTTCTCACCTGTACCCAGGGGCGTGTCCAAAGAGGGGGGCAATGAGTGACCCCAGCCCCACTTTAAAATTGCAATTAAAATTATGTGACTTTTACATTAAAAAAAAGACCCCCCCTTTTTTTTAAAACATGCATGCAGAACTGTATGAATTACAGATAATATATTCTGATTTCCTGCAGCACCACTTTTCTAAACTTGAGGGACATGTACGTTTACCTGAACACTTTTATTCTACTTTTTTTTTTACTCTTTTAGCTACTTGTAAGCTTTAAGAAAACAACTTAAACATTTAGATTTTATAACTGCTTAACAGTGCTGCATACGATTCAACTTAATAGATCTTCACATAAATTAAATTCAAATTTTCACAACAGGAATATAAGATTATAAAAAAGTAAGTTTTTCCCTCTTTAAATTTTTACTGATGATACTTTTGGAAAGGCCTGACAGCATGTTAAGTAACCGGTTACTTAACTACCCATCCATCCATCCATTTTTTTTAAATACGGTGACTGGATTCTGTCCTATTACACACACTGTCACATCCACACATATAATTCAAAATTATAATTCCAAATTGATTAAGCTTCAAAATTTTAAGGTTCATTTATGAGAATTATCAATAAAATAATACATAAGAACAGTCACAGGGACACTTAAATGCAAAACAAATATCTTCACTTTGACATTGAAAGTACATTTTCTTGAGATCCAATCCTGTGAAAAACTAAGTACAATCTGACAGCTTCCATTTGAATTAAGAGGGTAACATGTTGATAATGCACTTGATTAATTGATCATGACCACTTCTATAAAAGCTGAGGTTTTGGCAGTTTGCTAGAATGGAGCATTCTGGTGTGTTAACACAGCGCCAAGGAGGAAAAAGTCATCTCTGTCCACCTTTCACACCTATTAACGTTGTTGTCAAATGTCGTAATTGTGGAGGAACGAGTTAAAAAAGTAACTGCAGCTTCCCATCGATCTGGAAAAGGTTATTGGGTCATTTCCAAACAATCTGAAGTGCATCATTTTGCAGTGAGAACAATTATTCACAACTGGAAAACATTCAAAGCGGTCGCCAGTCTTCTCAGGAGTAAACGTCCCAGCAAATTCCAGACCCAGTGCATGATCTTGGACGTGCAAACAACTACATCCCAGACTCTACCGGCCTCAGTTAGCATGTCAAATGCAACACTTCTAGAAATGTCCTTTGGAGAGACGAGACCAAAGCAATGTTTGGCTGTAATGCAGAGCACCACATTTGTTGACAACCAGACACAGATCAGGACAAACACCCTGTGTCATGCACAGTGGCAGAGGGGTCATGGTTTAGGCTTGTTTTGCAGCCACAGGACCTCAGCACATTGCAGTATACACAACTTAAACTGACTATTATAACTATTGTTATAATCATTTAACAAATTTCATATTCCTACAGTGATACACTGACTGCAACTGTTTCCTTACCCCTATTCATCATTCTAGGTACTCTGAACCAGAACAGTGAGTCACTTCCCAGACTTAAAAAAGGAATGGAAAAAAAAACCACATCAGACTCTTGATGACTCATTTGTTGATTTGAGATGGACAAACAAAGGATGTATTAGTGAGGAGCTGGGCAGAATTCATGGGAAGCTGTCATGTGAGCTGAAGAGTCTGCAGCTTAAAAAAAATGCAAGTATTCCTGGAATGAGTACTTTAAATGTTTTATAGATCTGACGTGAATATCATCCATGTTGTCTTACAAACAGTCCTTAGAGAATTCATTTAAAATGATAGACCAAGCATATTCAATCCTCTACAGTCCTTTGCTCTGAGCGACTGCCTGATAATACGGTGCAAACATGGCGTTCCACATCTGTTTGAGCAGCTGCAGAAGTTTAGAAATCCACATGAACGCAGACGGGAGAGCTGCAGGTAAAAAAAGCACAACAGAAACGCATTTACAGTCACTTTTATTTTAACTTCTAAAAGACGATGACGTACCAGCAGAACTAAAGAACGTTTCACCCAACCTGGATCCATCCGAAAAAACAGCATGTAGAGGAGGATGGCAGTCAGAAAGATTCTCCGGAAAGGGAATGAGCCAGAGCCAATCATCAGGAGTTTTCGGTATAAAAACCTGATCACAGCCTCAAGTTTATGGACTAAAGTACCTGCAGAACAAAAGCAAAATCACAAACAGTTAACAGTTTCAGTCTTTTTTAGGCCGCTTGGTGTAATGCATCTTATAAGGGTTGAGGCTGAAGTGTCAGACCTTGGGATGAGACAGGATGTTCGGTGACGTCAGAGCTTCCACTCATCCTGGGATTTAGAGGAGGGTCTTGATTTTGTCGCTCTTTTTCTTCTATGATATCCAGCGCTGTCTGTCTGTGTTCTTCTGTGAAGGCGCTGCTAAAAACCTCGCCTCTGATCAGCTCCCGAGCCTCGTCTGCCTCTCCCAGCGGCACAAGGACATGCAGCAGGTACAGCTCTGCCACCGTCCCGAAGCTAGTCGCCCTGCTGTTGGACGGGTAGTGTAACCAGGCTCTGGTCACCTCCTGCATTACAGCAGGCTCACCCACCTTGGAGTAAAGAAGTATACTGCCAAAATGAGACACAAAATCACATTAGTTAGTATTTTATTGACATTTTTAAAGAAAAAAATCCTAAATAGTTAATGCAATACTTTTCTAAACCCCTTATGTTAAAGCTTAAAGTCTACACGTGAGTCAAATCTTGTTCGTCTGACTTAAAATCCCCTGTGGTGTTCAAGTATATCTTTCAATTTATTGTAAAACACAAACAAACACATCACACCTTTTAGCAGAAATAAGTTATTTTGGGTGTCCTTCACTCTTTAATTCTGAGAATGATGGCACCACACATATCACCATCAGTCCCAGAAGTCAGAGGTTTAAGTAGGAAACATGGCGTTCCTAAGTATTGGCACAGTATCTGGGAACCTTGGCTCCAAATTTATGGATATGAAGGCGTGATAAATGTCTGTTTTGTTACTAGAACAGGGCACTTTTATGTAGGATTTTTTTGAGTTTATCACCCATTTCCAGTCGTTGTCCAAATATTTCAAAAAGCCAACCATTTTTCATTGGACCTACCCACTGACATAATAGATTTGGGATTATAGTCTCCAATTTTGCCTGCTGAAGAGCCTTGGAGGGCATACACTTTGGACTTCACAGACTTTATAGTTTTTCCTACAGATAAAGACCTCTTCCATAGCCATTCAGACCTCAGCAAAGCAATTGAGTAATAAATAAAAGTTCGTTTTTTTCTTACACTTTGTACAACAGTGTGGGCTTTCACAAATGTGACCTCATTAGATAAAAAAAATATGGCTCATCAAGTCAAAACTTCTAGTTTTCTATTTATGGGACAGTCTGGGCAATGAGCTAGCAGAACTCGCTCTGTCATTTTACACATTTATTCATTTAAGCCTAAATAATTGTGATGACAGATGTCTTTTATTTACTACAACAACATTTCTTTATCACAAAAGGCTGAAGTCATTAATATAAGGTTTGATTATAATAGCACTCAGAATGAAGCAGAAAAACACAGCTCCTATAAGTGATTTCAAACAGCTATTCTTTTGAAATTCAGCATCTGAGAGACTTTATACTGATTGAGTGAAACCCTCTTAATCTAAATTGAGATCCGTCAGTAAAAAACAGTGAGTTGTTCATGTCTTTTAAAAGATTTATTTTTAAACGTCGTTATTAGTAAGTTTGTCATATTTGAATATTTCTGTTATTTGTAATTACATTTTATTTTCATTTTTAATTCATGATTAATTATATAATTAATGATGGATCAAATGTGCTGATTGAAAAAACATGTCTTGGAGAATTTGCATATTTGAACTCTAATACAATTTGTATTTTATACTTTATTTCATATTGCGTCCACCTGCCCAAAGGCTGGTGATCAATAGATCACTGTGTAATAATAATAATAATAATACAACTCTTTCCTCACCACATCTGCATGATCTTCACTGGTATTTTCTCCTGCTCATACTGTTGCAGAACCCAGCAGAGGATATCACGCCACTGATTGAGCTCAGCCAGAGCCTGAATCCCTAAGATGCAGAAACCAGCCTTGAGCTCTGCACATCTGCAGGAACATTAAAGACGTTTCTGTTATAACACAAACATCCAATCTTCCAGTTAAACATGTGCGTGAAGCTTCAGGACCCTCACCTGCTGTCCTCGGGCTCCAGGCCGGCGAGACTCTCCAGACCGCTGAGACATGTGTCAAAAGCCGCTTGGAAGTCTCTGTGCACCATCATTTGTTCTGCAGCCGACTCCAGCGTGTTGAACATCTGGGTCACAGCAGCAGAGAGCGGAGGGCTGGCGGCCTGGAAGCTGTTCATGACTCCCGGATGAACTTAAAACAAACCCAACAAACACTCAAAGGGTTTAAAGCACTTTAGCTTGCAGCTAAGCACGAAGTTCTCCACAACGGTTTGTTTACCTTCCGTTTAGCTTCCTGGTATTAGCCCACTGTCCAATCAGACGCCACAGTCTTCAGAATGTCCGAGGCAGCCAATCGTATTGCAGCTCTTTCCAAAGCACGTGATACATTTTTTCCCAAGCTTCTAAACACGTGTGCGGAGTAAAAGAGTGTGTTGTTCACACAGTTTAAGCGTCAAAAAGCTCATCTGCTGCTTCTGTGAAAAGTAAGCCACACTTGTATGTCATATAGTGGATTAATGATCACACCTGTATGAGTTTAGTGAGGAAAAAAAGGCTATTTTTGTGTGTTTTTAAGACTGGTGCCTCACTAGGAGTTGGGTAGCTAACTTGCTAGGCTTATTGTGACGGCCAGTATCGTGTAACTAAACGGAATTAACAGCATTTTACCATTTCTTTTTGGAGGGGGGTGGATGATGATGATGTAGTGCTTTAAATGTTCAACAGACCAAACGCTAAAGTTTATCACCGAAGCTGCTCATTCCCGTTTTGTTGAGATTTAACAGCTAAGTGGATTCGCTAATCCTAACTTGCCTATAAAGTCCTTAGGTTTACGTTATTAATCATGGAAGGAAAATTGTAGTACTGCACTTGTCGGCCACTTTGTGGCACATCACACAGGTACATCTGTTTACGATTCAGCCAATCACGCGGCAGCAACTCGGTGGATTTAGTGAAATGTGAAAGAAAGGTGATGTAGGCGAGTTTGAATGCGGCATAGTAGACTGTTTAAGAAGATGCTGATCTGCTGGGATTTATAATATTTTTAATATCAGTGTTTGGTACTAAAGACCAGCTCAATATTTATAGAGGTGTAGAAGAAGACTGAATGCGTAATCAGTTTTATTTAGACTTCTCTCCCAGGTTTACTTAACTTTATTAGTTAGTTTGTAAAGATGTTGCACAGTTTATTTTCATTCTGGGTTTTTTTTGGTAAGAAGAATAACAAAAAAAAAAAAAACGTTATAAATGGATTTTTTTTCATTCTACCTACCTACACAAATACATGTCATATTTAAATAATATACATCGTCTTGAGGTTCTTAAAAGTAAATCATAGATTAATTAAAATCCAAACATCCTCCTGAATCCCGGGCTTCAGCTCAGGCAGTGTGGAAGAAATCGGCAGTCATTGGCGAGACATGTCGCCTCAGACCATCCATTTGTCTTCTCTTGTTTTTACTGTTGTGTGGTGTAAGGATACATGTGAAAGTCCTAAAAAAAATGTGAACCCAAGTTTGCTTGACTGGTGATTTGTTAATGTCTTCGCAGCATCTTTAAAAATGGCAAAAAGCCTTCGGAGTAAATTTAAGCGAAAGATGCGGGCAGAGAAGAGAAAGAAGAACGCTCCAAAGGAGCTGAATCGTCTGAAACAAGCTCTGACCCTTGATAAGAAAGGAGAAGTCGCCATGACCGACATGCAGGAGATCGCCACAGTGGTGCCAGCTGAGAAGATAAAGAAGCAGGCCAACGTTAACATGGAGGAGGCAGAGCCCGATGGTAAGGCAGTGAGCACCACAGTCAGCAGCCTTTATAATTTTTTTTTTGTTTTTGTTTTTAATTACGAGGTGATGTCACACCTTTTTCTGTGTCACATGTATTGTATCATGTGTGCGTGTCTGTGTGTCTGTGTTTCAGATGGCAAGATGGACATGGACAGCAAGCGCAACAAGAAAACTCTTCTGGATGAACATGGACAGTATCCAGCGTGGATGAGCCAGCGGCAGGCCAAGAAAATGAGGGGCAAACGATTGGGAAAGAAAGGTGGCAAGGGCAAGAAGAAGAAGAATGTTGCCTGGTAAACTACTAAACGAGAAGACCGTAATTCTAGCTTAAAGACTCTGGAAGCTAAAACACAGCATCCTTTTGTGATAAGTGTTGTGTTTCTTAATTAAATTTCATTGTGTCTGGTGGATTTGAAGATTCCCGGGCTTTGCCACAGAGCCTGAGATCGTACAGAAGTTCACTGCAGAAACTGGTTTGTTCTCATGGAACAGCAAAACCCTCTCTGACTTGAGATCAGAGGACGGAAAACGTGTGTAGTGTGTCTGACTGCAGAAATGTGAGTGGTGCACGTGTATTCTCTGCCGCAAGTTAAAAGTCTCTAAACTCCCATAAAAAAAATCTGTCCTGTGATTTATTCTGTTCACTTGTTCTTTTCATTTTCTTGACATCATGCAACTCTTTTGACACACTTCCAGTGGCTCCTGGAGGTGTGTCACAAACAGAATTATTAGTATTTTAATATGATTTATAATTTCAATTGTTGTTTGTCATAACTTTAATTCATTACGCACATTCTTTACAATTCCAGTACTGTGCAAAAGTGCATGGTGGATGCAGATGTGATGGTGCCTCTTTTATTGTGTACTTATTGTGTATTGTGTACCGGTTTCCTCTTTTTATGGACACACTGCATGCACAACATGCCGAGATATGCCGACAATCACCTCGTTGGTGCAAAACTCCTATTTCAAGCCCTTCACACTGTGTTATCTTTGCCGTTTTTCATACATTCAACTAAAGAAATGACAATAAATGACAGACTAGTAAACACAACTTAAAATTAGTTCATTGCTAAGTTGTCTGTTATGTGTATACACCTATCTTGAGTTAGGTGTGTGTGTGTGTGGGGGGGTTACACTTGAATGATTCATAGGTCAGTGTTAAGTGTTTCAACAATCAAACAAATATTCCTCTAAATTGGTCGGGTACAATGACTGGGCTGAAAATGAGTTTAAAAAAAGCAGCCAAAGTCCAAAACTATGAAGCAGGTCAGAAGAACTAGTCAAGAGCACTTTAAAAGGTCCGGCTCGTACAATATATTGAAAAGAAAAACTTTAACATTTCTTAAAATGTGCACCATAGGCTATGTCTATCATCTGGTGATTTATTTTTGCTATACCTGTGTAGCAGTGGCTGCTATGGAGGTATATCATAAAAGGCCAGACCTGTGTCTCCCCAGTTATAGCTCGTAAATTAAAAAATTAAATAAAGCGAACCAGGATCTTTCACCTGTCAGGTAATTGCCTGAACCGCTGCACAATAAAGTGACCTGTTTAATGCCGGTCCTTAGCCATAGTTAACGTGATACTGGCCTAATTTTTTTGCGAGGGTTTTCTACTTTTACCATTTCTGTTAGACTGCCAAATGTTTTATTATCAATGTTGGCTTCTTATAATTAAATTTTGTAAACACGGGTAGAATAATGAAACATATGTTCTCTAGCCATTATGGTTCGTGGCTGTGCATAGAGAAGATGACTTGGCCTGCATAGCTTTGAAGCTACTGTTTCACAGTAAAATACATATTAAGGCTTTTCTTTCCCACACTTCATAATTCTTGTCTTTTTTGTAATACTAACATAAACGTGGTGTTATACCGATGAACATGCAACGTTTAAGTGCGCAAGAAATCACGCCTGCTGCAGAGTCGTTACATGTTTAAGGATTAATCATCACCTCGCTCATCACTGTGTCCAAACACTAAGATGGCGATGCCTAAAATGATCAGCTGGTGCTCCACAAAAGTGTTTTTAGGTCACTGTAACCGCATCAGAGGAAAGACAAAGCACAGGTTGCCAGGAGGCTTTTATTAGAATAGCAGAGCCATTTCTGGTCATAACTGTGATTACATTGGTAAAATAAAAATCCAGTGAAAGAAATGAATAAGGTCATATACCATCAGTTCCTTGCAGAGGTGTACACGTTTGCTTCTGATCAGGTTTGGCCTGATGCTTTTTCAGTCGGCACATTCAAAGCGAAATATTATCAAATAATACAATACAAATCAACTGATTTTAAAAATTTGCTCTGATTTGATTGTTAAATACAAATTCCTCCTCCTGTTCAACAATATTGAAGTTTGTTTAAGGGAAGCTTGTGCAAAAATAGACTTTGGGAGCGTGTTGCTCACTCGATCAGCTGAACGTAAGCGGCCGGGAACAGACCGGTACGTCCGTGACACTGTCCCTTCCACCAGCCCTCGTCAATCATCTCTATGTTGTAGATCATGTCGTCTGGATTGAAGGAGATCTCGTCATCGGCCTCTGTGTGAAAAAAGAAAAGCAAAGAATTTATGCTTACATTTAAAAAGAAAAATAAATACAAACAAAAGCACTTGTATCACAGCGTCAAAGGCCAAAGGAACACCTGTGCTCACGATCCCCTTTCAGTATGTAAACAAGGCAAACCAAAATAGCACAGATCAGATTCCACAATGAGTACTGAATGTGTAGGTGTGACATTTATATGTGCACAAGGTCACATTTATCATGAAACATAGAAAATGGAGAGTCTTACCTCCCACATAGTCATAAATCGCTATTGCTTTCTGGCCACATGTCAGGTCTTCATAGTCGTTATCGTCAGCTGGGAGATAAAATATGCGAGATTAATGATCAGTAGCCACGAAAGGGGTCCTGATTAACTCACGGCTTTGCTTAGAGGCAGACCTTTACGCTGAGGAGGAGGAGGAGGGGGATGACCGATGTCTTCATACTCTCCATCATCATCATCCACATCTATTGACCTTTCCGGCAGAGGAGGGCCGCCCGCTTCCTCAAAATCGTCCGAGCGTGGTGGCAAGGCCGGGGGCTCCTCGTATTCTGGTTCCTCCTGAAAACAGCAATGCTCGAAGTCACCGATTTCAAATCCTGGAGGTGAGCTGAGATGAGTCCCAGTAGCGTGCCAGCATTATATTCAGAGCTAAACATCTGAATTTTGAGATGGACAAAGGGATAATTTGGGAAAAATATGGTGTAATCTTAAATTTACTTCTGGAACCAACTCTTTCTGTTCATCAGCCATCTTTAAATGTCTCCAGGTGCTGATTTAGGCTGTTATTTTATTTATTCCTTTATATTTTAATTTGGCCTCCTTTAAAAAGCCATGTCTTTGTTCCATAATGTCTGGCATCTGTATAAAATCTAACATAGGGCCAACTTACTTATTTTAGCTTCAATGACAATTTCCATCCTGCAGGTGCAAATGTCTGCATGTCGCTGTCACTTAAACATTCATGTCCTCAGTGAGAAGCACTGGGACTGTGTGCAACAGGCAAAAGAGTGAAGTCACAAAGTACTGAGAGACGTCGAGTACTCAAAGGTAAATAAGTAGCACTTGTTTAAAATTTCATGAGCATGTTATCAAACGTGCTAACTTTTCAGTGTTGTGGCCTTCATCGTGGTGTGATGATGCTCTTCTGCTACCTTTGGCTCATAAGTGGAGTTAGATGATTTGTAGTTAAGCATCACAGGTGAGGATAATCAGAAAGGAACCCTTTCCAGAGACTGAATTAGGTTAGTTGCTGAGTTGGAGATATCAGCTGTGAAGATGTCTCTCTTCTTACAGCATTTTGCACCACATGGTTTTGCCTTTTTTGTTAAAAAAAACCCTAATAGCCTCAAAGTCTGCTGTAAACATTTTCACATAGGACCTATTTTCTTTCTGCTTTTCCACAAACCAAAAACATTCTGCAGAATCATGTTACTACTGACCTGTGAATTGTCCAAGGATAAAAAAGGCTCCTAACTCACCAATTAGGTGTCTACACGTAAAAGACAACTTAGCAAAGAACCAGTTTTAAATGGTGGCTTTGCCTAAAAACACATTTGTTACAAAAACACATAATTTGTCTCCATTTCTTTAATGAATTTATGAAAAATTCCAAAGATAAGACAGTCTGACAGACTTGAATAGTGTCTTTGTACCAATAAGGTGATTCCCATAGAGCTGTTAGCTATAAAACACACATTATCTTGATAGTATGGTGTGCAGTATATGTATGTGATAGTATGTGTCCTTACAAATTTGAGGAAACTGGAAAAGTGGAGGGCAAACGAAAAGAAGTGGCAGATCTAAACAACTATCTACAGCAGATGAACAGTATCTGAAATACCTGCATACCTGGATAAATCACAATGCACACAACCAAACACTATCAGTCATGGATTGGCATACATGCCAACCCCCCTGATTTTTCCAGGAGAATCCCGAATTTCAGTGCCCCTCCCGAAAATCTCCTGGAGCCACCATTCTTCCGAATTTCTCCCGATTTTCCACCCGGACAACAAAATTGAAAAACCATATCCCAGATTGGCCCAGCCAATGCCAGTTTCCAACAATGGCTACTACTACTGCAGCTACCTAGTTTTAATATTACTCTTATTAATCTTTCTGGGTCTCAAAATAAACTTTTAACATATTTTCAGGCGAGAATGTAGCTGTGTAAACTTCAAATATCTGAGCTGGCGAGAACAACAAACTCCCGGCACATTGTTTTCAAACCCCCGCGGCCTTTTGCTAGTCAGGTTAAACATGATATATAGGTCACTTAGATAACTTAAACATGTTATTGTTTGGCCTTTTTCAGTGTTTTAATTGTTCGTGAGTAAATGGGTTTGGCTGAGATTAAAGTTATTAGATTAGATTAGATTAAATAAAACTTTATTAATCCCTCGGGAGGGTTCCTCCGGGGTTTTCACACAGCTGAATAAATGTCAAACAGAAAAGTGATTAAACAGAAGTGTGAGACAGTAGAGAATTTACGCCAGCGTCTGGTTATATTTTAGACAGCAAGGAGCAGACGGCAGAGTTTCACTGCACCGAGAGAGCTCGTGACATAATTCTTAAGGCTAGACCGTCCAATTTCACCATCGCTCATTTCCGGTTACCCGGCTTTCGGAGGACCCGGCCACTTAGACCACAAAGCCCGGGTCCTCAGGTGGATGCAGCCTCTGAATTTGGACACCCCTGCTGTTATAATAATGGTGACATTTAACTTATTTTATCCGATAAATAAACATAGTAAAATTCAAGTTTTTTGTATATATATGTATATGTATATGTATACCTATATATACAAAAACATATAAATATATATAAATATGTGCATGCTGGAGGAAAGATGGGTGAATATGAGTCCCATGTTTTAAACACGAGTTGTTATTTGGTACATCTGATTTTTCATATGTGTTTCTCACCACCGGCTCTGGCTCCAGCTCCGGCTCTGGCTCTGGCTCTGGCTCCGGCTCTGGCTCCGGCTCTGGCTCCGGCTCTGGCTCCAGCTCCAGCTCTTTCTGAATCTCTGGAGTGCGACGGTGGATTTCTGGTGTTGGCATATCGTCCTCTGGATCAACATGATGAACTGGTGGTACTTGAGATTCCTCCTCTCTTCTTCTTTCTTCCTCCTAAAAGAAAGAACATCAATCACGTGAGCTGAAAACAGCTCACCTTGTAGCTCTTTACATTTTTGCAGCGCAGCATACCTGCTGCTGTCTGCGTTTGGCCTCCTCTCGCTCTCGGCTCTCTCTGGCTTGCCTCCTCGCTCTCTCTTCTTCTGCTTTCTTCCTGTTCTCCTCATCGGAAGCCTTGGCCATATTCTCAAAGCGTGCTTTCAGTTTCCCTGCACCTGCACTCGCTGCATAATAAAATCCAAAGTGAATATGAATGCAGTGCATAATGGAAATCATTGAACAGTTGTGGATTTAATTGCTTGCCAGACAGATGGCAGAGTCTGAGTGATTATGTTGGAGAAACAAATGAACTTACAAGCCTCTACTGGCTGTGTCTTTTTATATGCAGAGGTCGGGGAGTCCATGTCTGTGAAACCTGCTGCACTCTAGAGGTTAATAATAGAAAGAAAGAATTATTTTTCAGAAGTTTGAATTGTCACTACAGACATCATGTTTCAATAATGATGGTTCCAGCTGCAAGAATACTCAAGCAGGCGATTAACTGACTGGCAGGAAATAAATCAAAATTAAAAATTAAAAGCTGGAGGTTTGACAATCTGCTGCTTGTCTGTTCCTGTCAGATCAGGATGATGTACAGGCTTTGAAACAGCCTTATTTCAGCTGATTATGTGGGCACATCTGGGCCAATCTGTTACTGGGGACCTCTGATACTTGGGCTAAACCACAAAATAAATGGAGCTAAAAATGTGATCAAAGTCCCAAGAAGCAAGATGTTTGATGTTTTTTTTTTTTTTTTAATGCTTTTGCTTAAGATTAAAAATCTTTTTTTGCAGAAGTTCCTTGGCTAAGATAGGCTGTAGCTGAATCAACAGTGGTTACACAGCAACAACATACACAAAAGAATTATACAATAAAGCATCGGTAACTGTCAGTGTCACCTCAGGCCAGATGGGGGTGTAGTAAGGTTCAGGCCCACTCACTTAAATCTTTTAACAAGTTGTGCCAAAGGTTCTACAATGACTTTGAACGTGACAAGACATCAGTCTAGTTGTACAAGTACAAGTACAAGTTATTTAGATATGTCACCACTTTGCAAAGGTCTGGAAGAAGACCCAAACAGTCACCATCGTTTTTTGTTTTTTTTGGGTTTTTTTTTAAAATTTCCTTCCAAAATAAGTATGAAATTTAAAGTGAGAAATATGAAACAGACTGGGCTGTAAAGACAAGGGCAGATCTACAGAGGGGCAAAGGGGGCAACTGGCCCAACTACATATAAGGTATTTTTACATACTTCACTGAAGAGGTATGTGCCACCCTAGACCTCTTGCCCTTCCTTTGCCCCCCATGTAAAACTTTCTAGATCCACCACTGTGTGAATACAATAACATCCTTTACCTTTTTGACAGTAAGTCAAATCAGTGAGTAAGATGGGAACAGACCAACAATGGTCTCATAAATAAGAATGTTTATTCTGGTTATACAGAACAAGCAGACTATTCAGGCTAAGAATAAGATGTACAGTGGTGGAGAAGGGCTTTAAGGTTTTAGGTAGGTATTAAAACATTTTTAAGTTCATTTTATGAAAATGAAAACAGAAATAATCGATGTTAATTCCAACATTTAGCATGTGTGCCTCACTTTTTCCAAAATATTAATTATTTCCCAGATGTTATGGCTACTTTCCATTTTATTCCAGATTAAACAATGAATCCAAAGACAATAATACAGAATTTCATCCTTGATGCTGACCTTATCCATGCGGTCTGCCTGTACGCCATACCGGCCACCGAAACCTGCTGAATAATCTGAACACAGAAGCACTCCATCAGTGTGATGAATACAGGAAGTCTGTTCCTGTAAATAACACATCCGTGGCTCTCTCCTCTAACCTTTTTGTGACTGATGTTTCTCCGTCTCAGCTTTGTAATCGTACCCCAACGCAGCTTTGTCGACTTTCTCCTTCTCAACACCAAATTTTCCTCCAAATCCCTTTGAGTAATCTGCACAGAATAAAGCAATCAAGTGTCATGAAAAAAACGGTGGCCGAACCTGCAAAAGCTGCAATTTTAACTCACCTTTCTGCGACTGATGCTTCTCTGTTTCTCCTTTATAGTCATACCCCATGGCAGCTTTGTCTACCTTCTCCTTCTCCACCCCGTATTTCCCTCCAAATCCCTTAGCGTAGTCTGGTGAACATAAATTTCAAATGCATAAAAAAGCAAATACAAAGCACATAATATAAAAAGAGACAGTTGCTACAACCTGAACTCACCTTTCTGTGACTGATGCTTCTCAGTTTGACTCTTGTAGTCGTACCCCAAAGCCGCCTTGTCCACTTTGTCTTTCTCGACACCATACTTTCCTCCAAATCCCTTTGAGTAATCTAAAGCAGTGAGTTATAAGAATTTAAGATTTAGACAAACTTCTGATAGGAGAATAGTGAATGACAGATGCAGGACAGTGGACGTACCTTTCTGAGATCCATGCTGCTGCACTTCTCCTTTGTATTCAAAGCCGACGGCAGACTGCACAAAGATTGAAATCATAATAAATATTAAGCATCGTATGTGTGGAACTTTTCTTACTGAAGAAGCTTCAGCTGTGGAACAGGCTCCCAATGTGGATTAAGGAGACAGACACTCTCTCTACTTTTAAGATTAGGGTTCAAACTTTTCTTTTTGACAAAGCTAATAAATAGAGCTGGATCAGGTGACACTGAAGCCTCACCCACGGATGCTGTAAGGCTGAGGATGCTGTAGGACTTCCCATGATGCACTGAGCTCTTCTTTTCCACTGCTGATGCATTTATATGTCACATGTCCATGTCCTCTTCTCTCCTTCCCCTCACACCCCAACAACAGATGGCTGCCCCTCATTGAACCTGCCTCTGCTGGAGCTCTCTTCCCATAAAAAATGAGTCTCATTTCTCTATTTGTCGTAAAAACAGGCTATCATTGATCCCTTTCCTTAAAGTCAGCTTCTGATTGGCTACGCCAGACGATCTGAACATCATGTCGGTTGGACTTTTGTGCTCGAAACCAGAGCTGTGTGTCTGAGATGACCATATCCACTCTTACTGATGTACATACAGAGCCAAAATGTCTGAAACCAGCTGTTTTTGGCTTACAGAAGTACTTGTACATAGGCTTCGGATTTAAAACTTTGACCATGTTTAAAAGGAGTATCCACCAGTATATGTAGGTATAATAGAAACAATGGAAAGTATAATAGATCCCAGTTTTAACTGTACCGTTCACAGCAGATGGCCGCCCCTCCATGAGCCAGTCTCTACTGGAGGTTTGTTCAATTAAAAGGGAGTTCTTCCTTCCCACTGTCACCAAAGCACTTGCTCACAGTGGATCATATGAATGTTGTGATTTTCTTTGTTTTCTTTGTATTATTGTAAGGTCTTTACCTTATAATTAAAGCCCTTTAGGGCAACTGTTGTTGTGATTTGGCGCTATATAAATAAAATAGAATTGAATGAATCCTGTTGTTTGATGGCATAGAGCAGCAGACAGAAACACAGCAGAGAAGGAGACCTCATCATGTCATTTAAATCACATCTGAGTTACAGAATATCAAAGAAAAGATGTTAATGTGGGTGCAGTGTGCTCCCTTTTACTTATTGTTGCCTATTGTGAAAGAGTCTGCTTGTCTTCTCACCTTATCCACGCGGTCCTTCTGAACACCATATTTCCCTCCGAACCCTTTCGCTGCATCTTTCTGGGAAGAGTGCTTCTCCACCTCTGCTACATAGTCGCTACCCAGAGCCACCTGGACAGCAGAGACACATCCGTTCAAACAAAAAGGACACAGTTTAAAGAAATGGGCACAGAGTTGAGGGTAAAGAGGAGTCGCAGTAAATGATAGAAG